ACGTATTACCAGGCCTTAGAATGACCGGACTTAACGTACCAAAGAGTAGTCAGGATACTTGCCAAGGTCAGGGGATACAGAAAGAGACACAATGATAAGAGAAAGTGAGAAGTCAGGGATACCAGAATACAGGGAAGTCAAAATCAAAGCCAAAGTCAAAAACCAGAAAAAAACTTGAATCAGAAACGCGCTCTCGGACAACCACTAGGGAAACCACGACAGGGCAGGATGAGAACTGGGCCTAAATAGATCCTCTGGATCTGATAGGCTGTAATCGGCCTTTGATCCCAAAGGCAGTTACCAGGTTCCCATTAGCATAACTTCTGCTCAGCACAAACCCTACTGTGGATTTGATTGCTGCTCGGCACAACTTTTCCTGTCAGGACAGTAATGTTGCTTGGCACAACTTTTCCTGTCAGAACAGTAAATGTCATTAATCACATTTTTATATGCAGATGAATACGTGACAGATGGAAGGTGTTCACTCCCTCTGAGACATTCTAGTGTTGGGGGACTGGATGGTCAAACTCTACTTACACGATGCATACTTCACCATTCTGATAGCCAAAAACTGCCAACATTTCCTACAATTCTGGTGGGAGGACATGTCAATTTTCATCCCCTCTGCTTCTTATTGGTGCCTCAGTGTTTCACCAAATGAATGAAAGCAGTAGCTGCCCTTCTACACCTCAAAGGGGTCCGTTTGATAATATATTTTGAAAATATACTTGTGATGGCACAGGATTCTCATCTGCTCCGCAAATATCGGTCTTGTGCAGTGACTCTAGTTTGCAATCTGGGCTTCTTAATCAACTGGGACAAGTAGGTTCTCAAACCTTCTAAATCCATAGAATTCCTAGGTTTCACCATCGATTCCATGTGTGGGGCACTTCTACTGCCACCCTCCAAGGTCAAGAAGTAAATCCGTCAGGCGTAGGCACGTCCTGTTCTGACACAGAGACAGCTGGCCAGAATAATCAGCCTTCTCTCAGCTTCAATCCAAGCCATCTTTCCCGGTCCACTTCATTACAGA